TTTATGTAAGGATTCATGGTCAATTTGATTATTTTGCTATCTGTTCTCTGACGGACAAGTGTTGGATACTTTATCATGCTTTATGTTTTAGTCACGCTTTAATCATGCTTTATGTTTTAAAGTCCCTGTTTGTAAGTGAAACTGAAACTTTTAACTGAATTTAATTTAAGTAAACTGAATTTTTGATGTAATTACATGTGAAGTAATACATCATTTCCTATGGAGCATATGAAAAATGCAACTTGAGACACAATGTATTCTTGGGCTGGTCATACAACTTCTTATCATCAAATTGAATTAATCATAGAAAACATTTATTGTAAATTGTTACAATATATTTCCTATGTAATTAATATAATATTTTTGCCGGGTGCTTCAGCTTCCTCCCGCAGTCCAAAGACAAACTGGTAGGTTCAGTGACTTCTGGGAAAATTGGCCCTGATGTGAGTGTGTGTCTGTGTGTGCCCTGGGATAGACTGGTGTCCCATCTACGGTGTACCCTGTTTTGTGCCTGTTGCTTGCCAGTATACACCCCTCCTTGCTTGCTCCTCCATAACCCTGAATCACATGAAATTGTTAGAAAACAGAAGGAATGGTTGTAATATGCATATCACAAATGTGAGAAGAAGCATTGTTCCCATTTTGTAGGTGACAGATTTAGTGTCTGATGCCATTTGTCTTCTGAAAACCTCGAGTTGTATGTTTGTAGATTGCTAAAGTGTTAGATTTGGAGTATAAAGTGGTTCTTTGATGGCAAAATAATAATATCAACACAAATAGCAGATGTTTGTCCACTCTTGGCTGCCTTGAAGATGTGAATATGTTTAAGGCAGAATTAAGTAACAAGATTTTATGGACCAGAAAGGTTTTCCCAGTTAATACAAATTGCAGCTGCGTTGTGAACATTGATGGATTTCTGAAAGGAATTCATACAGTGTTCTGGAATTCAGCAGCCAATGAACAATTCAACTGTTCTGTGGAATCCGAGCACGGAGAAGCAGAAGGTGCCAAACAGCACTGCTACTGCCAATCATAGCTATTTGATTTCTGTCAGCATGGTCTGAGCTCAGAGGTTCTCACTGTGATGGAGAAGAAATCAAGTCGACTGTCAGCAGGAAAAAGAAGAGAATCGCAAGTTCATAAGCCAAGTTAGCATCTTTTTCCTTTTGCCTTTTCAGTGCTTCGTGTATTAAGAAGAAACAATATGGGGTGTGATGTTGCAAACGCATGAGAATACAGATTCTGAGTTTTGAAAAACTATTTTATTTAAAGGAAGTTCTCCTAAGACCTAAAATTGATCACAAAATCATCATCATCACCATCAACAACAATAACTGCATCTGCAATAACAACCATAATTATACTTATTTTCTTTAGGGGAGAGTTTCAGAAATGCATTCCTGATTGTTGTGAAAATTGAATATAAGAGCATTTTTTAATATCACGCATTCTTTGCTGTTGCAAGCAATTGAAATATCAGTGTGGTTCTCATAGCTGTCTTGCAGGCTTGTCGTGTCAGGTCTCGGAAGGAGGACATTAAAGTGATTCTTTTCCCTCTGGTCCAGAAGCCAGAGTCCAGAAACAGAATAGCCCTGTGTAGTGACAGGGAACGCTGTGCTATTAAACTGAGACCCTGTTTAGTTAGCCAAGATCCCACTGCATGTTTCTTAATGAGTAGGACACCCTGCTGCCCTGGCTTAAGTCCGTTCTGGGTTTGTATCAGGTCTGCCTAAGGTTTAAAGTTTCTCACAGTGACGCAGTTTCTCATTCTTCTAATTAAACTACTATGTAGTCGGGGCTGCTATTTGACACCCAGAATTGCCTGATTAGTGTCCTGTGAGAATGGAATGCCACAGGAGAGAAAGAGCTTATATAATTGACTCTGTTAGTAATTGGACTTTGCACAGGATGAATTATCAGTGTAAATTAGTAACAAGGTATATATGGGATGGGGTCTGCATCTCATAGAAAAAGAGAAATCAAGAGAAACCAGTAAAGGAGGTGAGAGTGAATATGAAAAGTAGTGAGTTAAGATAGCACAGGAGTGGTTTTTCGGCTCCTATGATGTATCGTCAGCAGACAGCCTGCAGTCTTAGCATCAGTCAAGGTTTGAAGGATTGAGAAGATTAAAGAAAAACTTTCAAATATTTTCTTTTGGGGTTTATTATTAATGAAACAAGGGTTCAGAGTAGAATACTGATTTTATTTGACTGAAATTAGTTGAAACACTCCAGAGTCTCTAAGGGGGTGTTGATTAGTGTAGCATGGTTGGAATTTGGGCGTAAGGAGATGAAGGTGATGAAGGTGAGTAAGGTGCACCAGAAGGTCTCTGAGCAGATCTAGAACATGAATCTTCTGATTGAAGGGGGATCCTGGTTATGCCAGGTTATGTGTGTCAGGGTGTTACAGCAGGAAAACACAGAGGGCCAGTAGGAGAGCAAGAGGAACTGGAATGGCTGTGCAAACATTACCTCTGTGAAAGGGACTTATCTTGGGGTTATACAGGCATCTCCGCAAGGGGACCATCAGTACAGCTGTAGGAGCCCAGAGGGGTTCCGCATTCCCAACAGTGACAGGCCACTCAAATGCGCATGCGTAATCAGGTGACTTGCAGATTCAGGGCTGTATTTTGTGGCTCAGGGGTTTGTTTTCACCACAAACAACCTTATATAAATGCAAGGAATAAACCCATACCACCACATTCATCTAGTGCACTACCCTAATGAAGTGTCTTTTCAATGGACCTTCAAAACTTTGTAAGTCATTGTTAAGTCTGGATCATTAAGAAAATGTGTTTTTTTGTTAACTTGGCTGCTGTGACAGACTGTGGATCATTATCTGTAGTCTACCCCTTTCATATTGGATGGTGCTTTACTCTCTGATATGATTCTCTTTATACTGCTCTAGTTTCTCAAATGCATTTACTGTGCCATGTTCAAAGGACCAATAGTATGAGTTATGTAGACAAACTTTGAACCTTTTTATCTGTGACTGCCAAACATGTTTAAACAAGATTAATAAACTTAATCTGCACCTGATCTTTGAACAGAACATATCAAGACTTGCCAGTAACCCATTTATGGGTGTATTTATATATGACATCAGTGACCTATTATTCTATTTTGATGCAGCACATGGGAGTAAGATCTAGTCTCTTCAATAACTACATTTTAATTCAGGGCTTCAAGGCTGTGCCTACCAGTTCAGTAGGAATGACAATTTGTTAATGATGGAAATCCTTTGAAGTACTATGGCAGAGAAGTTTCTGTCCTGGGCCTGGGTCATGCAATGCATTTTTTTCACATTTCTTATTATGTATATTATTGTTCTTTTTAGAAACAGAAACAGGAGCCTATGCTATGTCTGCTCCCATTTAATATAACCCTCTGCTTCCACACAAAGTGATACATGAGAACTGCATTTTATCTGCAGCATGTCAGCATTTGGTGCAGTCCCTGAAGCACATTAACAGAGGGGGATAACTGCACATGTAACTAGCATTTCCAGTGCTGAGGTGATGGATACTAACAGTTTAGTTTTGTATTGTTTTTTTAAAGAGTCTCTATCATTTTGTCCCAGACTATTTAAACTTATTTAGGATACTGTGTGTCAAAATGGTCACTCCACTCTTTACTCTGCTTTCTCTGTCTGAGCTACTGCCAGTAGTGATTGTGTTGGGATAAGCATAAGAAACGAGGTTACAAATGAGAGGAGACCGTTCAGCTCATCTATCCCATTTAGAACTAGTAGTTTAGTAGCTCATTGATCCCAGGAAATTGCTAGGTGAACTTGTTCCACACTCCCACACCTCTTTAGCTAAAGAAATGCCTCCTGTTCTCAGTTTAATTCTGTATAGACTAGTCCCTAGCTAAGTCCCAGGACCCAGAAGCTGTTGGGTGGTAGTGGTAACTGCCATGCTATCTGTAAATTGTTTAATTCTGATGCAACAAGCAGCTCCAAAAATTATTAAATGGCTTTAATGCTTTGCAGAAAATGACTGTGTTTATAAATGCATTAATTTGTCAGCATACCTAAGCTTTACCGTCATTTTTGTGTGTGAATGCAGTGAATTTTCAAGCAATGCAGTCCTCTGCACTCACACCATTTCCTTGTCACAGAGGAAAAACCTATAGTAAGCATTTCTCAGCTAAAATCAACTACTAGACAAACAACAAAAACTATGCAAATGCTGCCCTCTTCAGAAAATGTGAATGAACAGCATTTGGTTCCAGTGATACGTCTGTTTTGCTACAGAACAACCTTTAAGGTTGCTTCTGAATTTTTAATATGGTCGAAAATGTGGTACATATATTTCCTATTCCTATTCCTATACATACTGCACCAAAGCTGAGCTCCCATTACACTTTAATGATTTCCAAGCAGAGCAGCAGTAGGTTTTACTTTTCAGCCAACTGTTAAAAAGATTCAGTGGATTCAAAAAGATCCACTAACATTTAAATGATTGGTACTTTGCAAAATGTCTCATTGACTCCTAATGATTTTTGGTGTTTTTATTTGTCAGTATGTCTTCTTTCTCTTGCCCAAAGCCTCTCCTCATTAAGATGCTTGGCATGTGTGTTACTTTCTGCTTCTTTGTCTATTTTACGATTTTCGCAGTGCAGAGAGTAAAATTGAGCCAATATGGTATTGAAATGTATACTTTTTAAAGACACCGGGAAACGAAACTATTAAAACGCCACATACAATATGTGTATGTATACAATACTTTGTCTATTATTTAAATGGGGGGGCGGTTTTAAAATAGAACACAACAGCATGAATAGCACATTTTATGTATTCATAAATAAAATCCTCTCAGTGGACTAATCAATACTGTACTGTATATACTTGTATTCTGACCATAATTTAAGAACCTTTCACGATGCTGAAAGAATGGTAAAAATCGGGAAAAAACGTGTGTCTGTCTAATGAATATGCAATCTATACAAACACAAAATTTCTCTACTTTTGTGCACACTTGACATCCGACCCCGTCCAGCGGGCCGAAGGCCAAATGCTTTACCGCGTCAATATCGGTTTTCCCATTTCAGCACTTTGGACAGCTTCGTTTCTGCAACGCAAGGTGTACTCGGTGCCTATAAAGCCCCTGTTCAGAGCTACCTCCTTTCACAGAAGCCGCTGTATCTTGCAGTCATGGATTACCTGACAGGGCCTCCTCTAAAGCGAGCACAGGGCGATTTCAGCCGATTCATGCCCAAGAATCCTGTGGCATCTACAGAGCTGCAGTTCCTCAGGATGCCTGGACGAGCCCTTTCATTAAAAAGAAGCAAAGCGGGACTGCAAGAATTTAGCAGCTCTCCGGTTCTGAGACTAAACTCTAGTTCGGACTATGCGCGGCAGTTTTCAGGAGACGAAAACCTCGTGAATATAAACGAAAAACAGCTGCTGCAGGGGCTGAATGAGCGCTTTGCCGGCTTTATCGATACGGTTCGTCAACTGGAAGATCAAAACAAGTGTTTAGAAAAAGAAATCGCCGAACTAAAACAAAAAGAATGCTCCCCTTCCGATTTAGCAGAAGTATACGATCCGGAGATTAGAGAATTGAGGAAACAGATTCGAGAAATGGCTCTCCAAAAGAGTCAGATTGACCTGGAGCGCATTGATATGCAAGAAGACTGCAGTGCTCTCGCTATGAAGTTTGAAAAAGAAGTTCGGAACAGATCAGAGTCCGAAAGTTACATCGCGACTTTAAAGAAAGATATCAATGACGCTCAGCTTTTAAAACTCGAATTAGAAAAGAGAGTCGACGCCCTTGTTGCAGAAATCACTTTCCTGAAGAAAAACCACCACGAAGAGGTGTCCGAAATGATGGCCCAAATCCAACAGGCCCGCCTAACCGTGGAGGTGAAGGAGTGCGGGAAGGCGGACATCACCGCGGCTTTGCGGGACATCAGAAAGCAGCTTGAAGGTCACGCCAGCTCCAACATCCAGCACGCCGAGGAGAGTTTCCGCACTCGCGTGGAAAACCTGACCAGAGCCGCGGAGAGCAGCAGCCAGGCGCTCCAGAGCACGACACAGGAGATCCAGCAGCACCGCCGGCAGCTGCAGTCCAAGAGCCTGGAGCTGGAGACCGCCAAGGGCACCCGGGAGCTTCTGGAGAGACAGCTGTGTGACTTGGAGGAAAGGCACGACGGAGAAATCAGTCATTACCAGGTAAGATAAAACGGCAACGTGGGATGTCGAGGCCAGTAGAACAAAGTTTTTCTTATCTGTATGCTGTTCTACCCTACAATGTATTCACCTGACAATTTCCAATGATCTCTCTGTGTTTTAGTTCCATCACATACTGTACGAATTCTATTGAATCAAGAGCAACAAATGTATCTGTGAAGAAAAGTAACAATGTTTACTGAGAGGTCAAACCAAAAATTGCCATCTTAAAAATAGCCCATTCCAGGTGTGAACAGATGAATGGATTACTCCTTGTAATGACTAAATGTGTTTCAGAATTTAAAGTAACATTAAGATTACAAACATTAAGACTTTCAACCAGATGAAAAAACGTTTAAACATGCAGGATTTAGTCTTGCTAAAGCTTGTCACTTTTGTTCCTTACATGGTGTAGATGATTTCCTCTCAAACATTTGTTTTAGCTCTTAACTTTGTCTCTTTATAGCTTTCTAACTTTTAGTTCTTAACCTGCTGTGACAATAAGGGCACAGGCTAATGTTATAATAAGATAAGATCACTTTATTGGCCATATACAATTTCTTGCATTAGGAATTCGTCTTTTCACATACTCCAACTTGCTTTCCATGAGACACACAGACAGGGAGAGAAGCTGGGGGTCAGAGCGCAGGGTCAGCCATTTATACAGCACCCCTGGAGCGGTTGGGGTGAAGGGCCTCACTCAGGGGCCCAATGGAGTGGGACTCCTCTACCAGTCGCAGGATACGAACCAGCAAACTTCCAGCCACAGAGACGCCTCACCCCTGGGTGATTCTGAGCCACAGGAAACTAGCTGTGTCATTGATCTGAGTGGTTCTGTAGATTCTTCAATGAGATTCTAGCCTCATGAGGACCATGGGAGGAAGCAATAAAAACACAATCCGAATGTGTTGTGAGCATTTTCCAGAAATTCAAAGTGCTTTACAATAGCACCCCTGTAATACACATAATAGAAAACAGGAAATCCAGGACAGCCTGCCATTTGTCCCATCTAGCTTGTTTAGTAGTTCTATATATATAATAGAAGGAAAAAGAAAAACATGGCAAAACTGATTTAGCAAAACTAAATAATACATTCAAATCTATAATGAAAAGAATGGTCTTTAAGCAAATGTTGAAAAAGTCAACCAGGGCTGGGTTCCTAATGGATCTGGGCAGTGAGAGCAGTGCTGAACATTTAGTGTCTAAAATCCTGAAGGGCAGAGACAATGTCAAGCCAGGGGGCTATTTCCCACTCAGGAGCACAAACTACCAAAAGAGCAAGCCTGCTCTCGCCCTTCTTATATTCTAAAAACACCCAAGAAGGTAGTTATCCCAGTAAGGGTGCAGGCAAACCTGAGCCCATGCTGGAGACACCGAGGGCTCTTGGACTGATACAGGACATCCAGTGAGCTACAATGTATTTACTGAATTCACTGCATGCTTTTCAGGAGACAATCAATCACCTGGAACTGGAGCTGAATCTCACCAAATCCGACATGTCTGGTCACTTGAGGGAGTACAAGGATCTGATGAATGTCAAAATGGCACTGGACGCAGAGATAGCATCTTACAGGTACAGTAATAATCCTCCACCTGCCTTTTACAGGTAATAATCCCAAACCTACATTTTACAGGTAATAATCTCACATCTGTGTCATACAGGTAATAATTCCACACCTGCATCATACAGGTAATAATCACACACCTGCAGTTTACAGGTAATAATACTTCACCTGCGTTTTACAAGTAATCATCCCAAACTTGCATTTTACAGGTAATAGTCCCACACTGCCTGTTCAAAACAACAGGTTTATGTTGTTTATGTTATGTTATGTTTATGTTTAGTGTGTGACGTATCATAATGGAATTGTGTCTACAAAACCTCAGCCTCAGTGAGTTGTTTGGTTACGTAAACAAAATATTTTAGCAAGGTGTTTACATGAAGGGTGCAGATTGGTTGTGAGACATTCAGATATAACTGGTCATATTTCAAAAATGTAGACATTTACATTGTGCATATGAATTAAGAAGCTGTTACTTGACGGCGATTTATACACAATATATATCAGAATGCTGCAAAATAAAAAAAAGAAAAATGAACACTATGGAATTCTGGTGTAAATGTTGTACTTTGGGGGTGGCATGGTTGTGCTGTGATTAGTATTATTGCCTGGCTGTGCTGGGGCCATGGGTTCAATTCCTGGGGTGCTATCTCCATGGAGTTTGTATGTTCTTCCTGTGTTTTCGGGGGTTCCTTCTGGGTGCTCCAGAAGACATGCTGGTAGGTTAATTGGCTTCTGGGAAAATTGGCCCTGGGTGTTTGTTTCTGTACGTACCTTCGATGGATTGGCATCCTGTACAATGTGGTTAGAAATTGGATGGATGAATGTTATACTTTAATTGTGACAGCTTTGTACAGATTGACTCAACCACACACCCCTGGAGTATGCAAATGTGCATTACCACAATGTTTCTGAATAAATCTGAAATCTGATTGTGTTTAAATTTGGTTAAGTTATATCTACTGTATCTTGTTACAGACTATGACAATGTATAAATAACATTGTATTTGCAATGAGTATTCTTCCTGTCTTATCCTGACATATGGGTGATGCGTATCCTACTTTTAAACAGGAAACTGTTGGAAGGAGAAGAGACTCGTCTGTCTTCAGTGTCTGGATCCCAGATTTCATTGCCGTATGCGTACAGACAACCTCCAAGTTACACAAAGGAGCAAAGCAGAGCCTCCAAGACAGAGCTACAGTACAAGTTCGTTGAGGAGATCATTACCGAAACAACAAAAGAAGCAGAGATGACTGCGATTGAAGAGGCAGAATTGGAAACAAACAGAGAAGAGGAAGCAAGAGGGAATGGGAGCAGAGAGGAAGAAGAGGCAGCTGAGGCAGAGGAGACACAGGAGAGAGAGGACACCCCAGAATCAGAGGAACAACATGAACAGTCATCCCATGAGGCTGAGGGGACACAGCAGAGAGATGACACCCCAGAATCAGAGGAACAACATAAAGAGACATCTCCTGAGGCTGAGGAGAGACAGCAGAGAGATGACACCCCAGAAT